CCATGTATAGGTTGTAGAATCAAGTATAAATATATTTGATGATACTTTACCTAACTAATATAAAATAAAACATTTTATTTTTAAAATTATATAGATATATGATAGGTATATAAATAGATATGAAATAGATATAGTAATATTTTTACTCACCATAAATCCTATGTAATAATTTGTTTAAAAAAAGTTAATAAATAATTAAACTAATAAATTTATTTTCTGACAATTATTATAATTATTTACCATATGTAATTATAATATTAGTTCCAACCAATGTCATTGTATGATCAAACAATCCTGGTGGTTTAGCTATTCCCACAGGTCGGATAGTTTTCCATGTCAGTGTAGTTGTATCAAGTTCTAACAAATCATCATAAACAGTTGATGCATCAAAATTACGACCACCATAAATAATAATTTTCTTGTCTGTTGCTAATGATAAACAGGAAGAAAGATATAATGTGTTGATAGATATGCATGTAAATAATCAATTAATTTTGCTGAAAAGATATTTAATATTTGAAAACTTACTTCCAACAGCTCGATGACCTCTTCTTGGTGAGGGAGTAACACCTAAAGTGGTCTAAACGTTTAAATAAAATTATGTAAATAAGCTATTTAAATTTAGTAATTAAATATAATAGTTATAATTATGATTACAATGTAATGAATGTAATGTAAAAACATTTAACCTTTGAGGTCCAAGTATCTAGATTAGTGTCATAAATAGTAATTATATTCATGTCTGATAGGGGAGGGGGACCTGTATCAGCCACCACATTACTAATACCACCAATAACATAAATGAGATTATCACTTAGTAAAGTTGAAGTATGATGAGAAATTCCATTTGGTAAAACACTTATTGCTGACATTTTAAATATGTTTGTTAATGAATCATACACACATAACGTATTTAACACATCACTGACATCATCATTTGAAACAACAGGTGAGGATCCACCTAATATAAAAACTTTTGAATCATATTTGGTGACTGAGGTGTGTAGCACACGATTAGTACATTCTGTTGTAACTGCTTTAGAAGCTAATGACTTGCTTGTTGTATCAAAAATATATAATGAATCTGGGAGTGCATTCCCATTTGACATGCCACCAAATATTATTAATGAATTGTTATTTTGACCTCCAATTGACATACTGTGAAATGCAACAGGACTATCTGCTGTTAATGGATTCCATACTGGTTTTTTTGGATCAAAGTTTACTGATACATCCAAATACAATATATCATTTGTGTCAATGCCAGTATCAAACTCAGGTTTAAACTCAGGTTTAAACTCAGGTTTATCCGCAGTTAATAATCTACCTCCATAAACATACAAACTTTTTTTGAAAGAGAAATAATTAAAAAATATTGAAAATAATTTTTGAAATGTATGTGTTTAACTTACTATTTTTCACCCACTAATGTAGCTGCATGACCCCTATTATTATTATTATTATTATTAT